GGTAAAGATTAAATTCCAAAATTTTCCTTCTTTTTCTTTTATTTTTCTTATTAGATTGAGAATTCATCATAATGATTTGATATAATTCTTACAATTGCTGTCAATCTGACACCAGTCCACCTCTTTTTGGATTCAACATTCAGTACTGACGATGGGAGAGTCAAATACCTAATGTTATGGTACTGACATTGTATTGCCTATTGTTATTGCATAACAGACCATGCAACACAAGTTCATAAAAAATCAACAACTATACTAAAATATACAGTATATCTATGTTTGAATTAAAGTATCTGAAAACAAAATGTAACAGAGTGCCAAGTGCTATAAAATATCCAACACAATATACAGCAAGTAGAACAAATGTACTAATATACATAAACATATATATTACATAGGTTCAGAACATTATATTTGCAGCCTATATATTCAACAAATATATACAACGATATTCAAATAATATAGATTCTGTATACAAGTCAACATGTATAGCAATATAAACAACAAACATAATGTATATATTGTATATACAACAAATAGGACACTATATATTAATATATATGCAGCCTATATATATAACAAATTTATGCAACAAAATTATATTTGTGTATTTATAGTATAGTCAAGCATATTATACTATAAACCATATATGTCACTAAATATTCTATAAATAAGATTAATAAATCCGTATATTTAGAGAGAAAGAGAAGCATATCAGTGATAGCAGAGGTTCATTTTCTGTGTGGATCAACTATTCTTGTGGGCTCAAGTTTCTCTACTGGCTGTTCTTCGCCAGTAGAATGAAGAACCAAGCAAATTGGAACTGCGAACCCATCCCAAGTGAATAAGAAGAGGGCCAGGAATCTGAATGGATGAAATCAGTAGAAAGAAGTATTGATCTATGCAAAGTTGCATTAAGTGTTTTGAAGATCATTGCGCAAGATTTTGGATTTTGTAAAAGAAGATGTAACATCTGGGATTTTGAGTGGCAAGAAATCAAGAACGAAGTAAAAGGGTGGTCGGGAGAGGGATCGCCAGAAAAAAGTAATAGGCTCCAATGAGAAGTTTGTCCTCAAATCAATGTCCTCTTGTTAGGTTCTCTGAGAGAGAGAGAGTCGTTAGTGGTAGATGAGAAAGTACCAGTGAGAGGTAGTTCAATGAGTAGATCACCTTGGGCATATAGTAGAGAAAATGGAGATTAAGGCACGTTCTCCCGGGGGGTGGAGAGAGAGAGAGAGTAAAAAAAATCATTATTTTATCATTGCAATGATAAAATAGTGATTTTTTAATGATCAGTTATCTTACAAAGTGTGCTGAAGTTGTCTTTAAATCAATGTGAGGGGTGCCAACATAAGCCGTTGGGGGTCCGACTTACTTGGAAAATTTTTAGAGAATAGAAGTGGGATAAGATATCCGGATTGAAAAGTAAGCTGTGGTTATGTATTGAGTATTAGGTAAGAATCTGGTCTTACAGAATTTCAAGGTGGCTACTAAGATTTTACGAACAGCTCTGAACACGTAGAAGTGGCGAGAAAGAGGTTCAACGTGCTGTACAAGAGGTAACCATTGGTTCATTTGGAGTCATAGAAGCTGATTTTGTTCTTAGAATTGTAGGAATGTAGTCAAAAACAAAGGCGAACTTTCTTTTTGGTTTGTTTTCTATTAAGATATACAATATTTTCAATTAAGATATAAAACTACAGATAAATAATTTTAGTTTGGATTTTCTATTGTGTTAAGATATTAGTTCTAGAATCTAGAAAGTGAATAAGAAAAATTCTCCTTGTCCTATGGTATCTTCACGATTGTATTTTTTGTTACCCTTCTTGTTAGTTGTTGAATATGCAATCCTATGCTCCTTTCCTTTTAACATTTGTTAATGATTCTTGTTTGGTTAGTTACTTCCATGTTCCATCTTCTCACTTTAAATATATAAAAATAAAAAAGGAATGGGGTTGGGGGTTGTTGCTATCCCCCTCCCATTTACACGAAAAGAACTTCTTTAAGTGCATAAAGTTTTGGCCACTTCCTGTATTTATGATGATAAAATTTGATAGCATAGAATATATTATATTGATACCTCATATTTTCCTTTAGGCCTATTGAATCTCGTCCTCAACGGCATAATGAGCAAAAATCTTTTTTCAACGATTATAATGCCCAAACATATCAAAGGCCTCCTGCAGTTGCTTCTTTTGATGCTTCACATAATTCTGGAGCTGGCATTTCATCAAGGATTGCCCAGTTTCAAGACCACAAAAGATCCAGATCGCCTCCTTTACTGTCTACTAATGAAAATAATTTGAGGAATTCCAGAAATATATATCACCACAAGGTATATTCTATCATTTCTCTGGTATCATATGCCTGTTTGTTTTAACCCCCATCTTGGTGAACCTTATCATGTGTTTTCCTTGTCTAGGCTTACTCTATCTCCTCCCGTCTCGGGTACTGCATCAAATGTTGTTTCCAGTGCTCCTGATTGTCGAATCCATCGAATGTGCTCACCACCTGCACTGAATATTGGTAGTGAAGCTGTTGTGACTAAAGCCTCCAACTTCTCAGTCCCCAAGAGAACTAGGTCACCTGCCCAAAGCATCGATGGTGCTGCTGTTGTGAAGCCTGCCAACTTTCCAGCTATCAAAAGAACTAGGTTGTCACCTCCTTCCCCTTCTGCTGATCAAGTCATTTTTGAGAATTCCAATTCAGTCCAAGATGATGATGGACGGTAAGATATTATCTGCTTAGAATCTAATTATCATTTGTTACTCTTGTTATTCATTATTAATTCCAGTTCATTATGTTTCTTATGTCTTTTCACTTGTGATTATCAGAGAATTGCGAGCCAAAGCAAAGAGAATGGCCCGTTTCAAGGTCGAACTAAGCCAACCATTGCAAAGCACTCCTGGTAATGGAAACCAGAAATTCTCTACTAATAGACCTGATCGGACTATGGGAAGGCAAAAATTAATGGAGGAACATTCTGCCGATATGGTGGGGGATCTCTCCAGTGGCAATGCTTTATCTGATCTTGAAGCAGCAGAGTCATCCACTATTATAACTGGATTATGTCCTGATATGTGTCCAGGTATGGCTTTCAATTTTGATCAATGTGCAAGCCTTTAAATTCATTGTTTTCGAGCTGCGATGTTGAGGTCCTAGGTCCAGTCCAATTTTGTCCATCCTGCTCAAAGTGAAAAAATGGTTACAATATTGTTTTCCATATATTTTTAATTTTAAAAGAAAGAAACTGCCATTCTGGAAACAGATAATGTCAGTCTATTCTGAACTTGATATGAAATTATATCTAGTTCATTGCTATTCTGAATTTTACAATTGAAAGTTCCATCTAGTTTTTAAGTACTCTGAGAAACTAGTGCGCCTTGTTAGTAATGTGGGAGACTTCTGGAGTAAGTTTTACCTAAATCTTGTAATACATGTTAGCCTCTTGTTTTATGTTTCAGAGCGAGAAAGATTGAACAGATGAAAAAGGCATCAGTTGAATTGACGCAAATGGAATAAAGACTGATTTTATGTTTTCATGGTTGTGCGGGATCAATTCTTGGTTGCTGAAATGCCATTTAGTTCTTCTCTAGACTAAATAGTGTTGCCGATTGCTGTTGTTGTCAGATAAGACTTCACATAGTTGCCATGCATGAATTGTGTGAATACACAAAAGGAGAAGGCTTTTCGGATGCACACCTCAACATTGAACAGATGAACAAGGCGTCAGTTGAATTGTTCCAATTGTATGATGATCACAGGAAGAAAGGAATAAAGGTGCCAAGTGAAAAAGAATTTCGAGGTTAATATGCACTTCTCAAACTGGACAAGCATCCTGGGTACAAAATAAGTCGTCTGCAGCAGCCACACAATTGTACAATATTTATTTCAAAGTTGCGTGTAAAAATAAGATCTCCGTGCTAGGTTGAACCTGCCGAGCTCTCCCTTGAACTTTCCAAGATGACACCAGAGATAAGACGAACACCAGAAGTGTTACTTGCCCGTGATGTAGCAAGGTTGTCTCCTGGTTCTCCTTCCTTTATTTAATACATGCAGGTTGCTGAGTCGGATACAATCTAATATTAATTGTTGTTTTGCTCTTTCAGAGCTTGTAGAACGGGTAATTTCATAGCCTTCTTTCGGCTTGCAAGGAAAGCGAGTTACCTTCAAGCATGCCTAATGCATGCTCACTTTGCGAAGGTATAGGTAAATGCCTCCCATTGTTCTATGCTTATGCTTTAATTCGAGCCATCTATTTTGGATTGTTTGTCCACTGTAATTATGAGTTTGCTTTATATATATACCCATGAATTCAGCTGCCACAATAGTAAGTCCTGTGGATAATGTAACAGCCTAACAGGTGGATTTAAGTTCCTTTTTTTTTTTTTTTTTTTTTAATTAGTTTGTGCTGTCCATGCTTAAATATTTCTCTTTTGCATGTTTTAATTATGAGTTTGCTTTGTTTCTCTTTTGCATGATATTACTGTGTATCTAACATGTGCGCATACACATGGAAACATGATAGTCTCATTCTTTTGTTGTCTTAATCAGTTACGAACCCACGCACTTGCATCCTTACATAGTGGTCAACAGAACAACCAAGGTATCCCTGTGGCCCATGTTGCCAAATGGCTTGGAATGGAGGTACTTTTTCTTTGGCTTGCTGGTGATTTGCCTTTGTTTCAAACTAGCAAGGAAGTTCCAACTACCAAATATTAATGTATCATGTTTTTACTGGATTTAGGAAGAAGACATAGAAAACCTTTTGGAATATCATGGGTTCATGATAAAGGAATTTGAAGAGCCATACATGGTGAAAGAAGGCCCATTTCTCAACTTTGACAATGACTTTCCTGTGAAGCTTTCGAAACTTGTTCAACTGAAAAAGTCGAGAAGGATAGTTGAGGATGTTTCATCTCCTCCTGTACCTGTTGAACTTGTTGAGACAGGAAGTTCTGCCCTGGCCATTGATGAGGAAATGCCTGATTCTCCTACCGCAAACTATGATTGCTGAAGACTTTGATGATGAAGAGCATGCAGATATTACAGATATACACCAAGAAGTTGAAAATGATGTTAGGAGTTATCATGATGAAAATGTTGCTGAGGAAATGCCTGAGAAAATAAGTTCGGCCCTGGCCATTGATGAGGAAATGCCTGATTCTCCTACGGGTAATATAGCACCGCAAACTATGATTGCTGAAGACTTTGATGATGAAGAGCGTACAGATATACACCAAGAAGTTGAAAATGATGTTAGGAGTTATCATGATGAAGAAGTTGCTGAGGCAAGACTAAAACTAATCTTAAGGTTGTAGCTTATTCCTACTCGTTCGGCTCTAATTTGTTGCATTTGTTTTACTTTTTTTTTGCTTTTTGTTTTTCTTATTGTTCCTGCATTTCTCTTTGGTCAGAATATGGAGGCGGCACTCTTCAAAGAAAAGGCAGTTACGTGAGCAAAGGCAGTTAGCAGCAAATGCTGCATTAAATTCCCTCTCATTGGATCCACCAATTCGACATAGGAAAGATGTAAGTCTTTTTGTTCCCCACCTTCTCTCCAATATATAACATGAACTAATCCCAAATCACAATATACTTTTTGTCATTCTATTACCTTCCTTTCTCTTCTGTTGGATTTCATTTTATTGCTTCTCTTGTCCCCTCCCCCCTCTATCTTTTTGTCTCTCCAATATATAAAGTGAAGTAATCCCAAAAGATGAAGATATACATACATGACTTTGTTTGGGCCATCTCCCATGGTCACACATCAATGCAGTCTGTAGTGATTGGAGAATCATGGTTGATATCTGTTTACTCCATTATTTTTGGCCCATTGGAAAGGCGACATGTGGCGAGTTTCAATGGAACTTACCACGCTGGATCGCAACTCTAATAAGTTATTATTGGAAGCTATGTAATATTACATAGTAATTGAAAGTGGACCAAACAATCCTACTATATGGAGTTTTTCTATTTTAAAAAGAAAAGAGGTGAGTCTTAATAGGATTTGCCATCTTTAAAACAAGGGCCCAAATCTTCTTGTATGGAATGAGTTTTACTATATATGGTGAGTTCTACTGAGCTTACTATGGTGCTTACTGTTGTAGATAAATTCTTTTAAGGGATTGTTATCTAACTAAATATGGTAAGACCAAAGTTGGTTTAGCCAAAAGAAGGAGAACGTGGGTTGATTTTCTCCTCATTTTTAGGAGACTTCAACGATTGTTTAGCCAAGTTGAACAATATTACTCAAAAGAAGGAGACGTGGGAGTTTAATTCGCTTCTATAAATGTGAAAATATATTTATGTTTTAGATTCAGCCCACGATGAAATACCCACGATGTAAAGTTCCATGAAGCCAAGATGGAAAGCTCAGCCAAATAAGGATACCTAAAATTAAGGAGGCGTGGTCTACAGAAGAGAGGGGGCGTGGGATGATCTGTATCTATAAATATATTTATGCATATATATATATATATATATATATATATATATATATATATATATATATATTTATGCCAGATATTAGTCCACGATGAAGAAGTCGCTAGGAAAAAGAGGCCACGACGCCATGAAAACCAAGGTTAAACTGGAAAGTTCAACAGAAAGAAGTTACCAAAGAGAAGGACAACATGGGTCTGCAAATAACTTCTATGTATATACATGATATATATATATTTATATATATAATTGTACAAGAATGGAACTTCTGCAGAAGAAAGACTTTTGAAATCGTGGGACACTTCACTAAATAAGGATACGATAGTTGAAAGTGGTGGTATTTCATGCAACTGCTACCACTAACTGAAGAGAAGTTATCGTAAATCATAGATGGTGACGCTGATGAAATCATGTCTGAAGGGGAAGATATTTACGGTAGGAGAAAGAGAATGAGAAATCGTGGGACAGATGTTGATTTATTAAAAGGACAAGTGGGAATTCACTTTAAAACTACCCACGACACAAGTTCATTGAAGACTAAAGAGAACATGGCTGAAGTCTACAACAAAGGAGGGAGAAGATGGAAGGAAGAAGTTACAACTGCCAAGAGATCATGGGACATTTGGCAATCCAGAATTTGGCCACGTGGAAATCGCTGGAATTGCCACATCAAGTTGCTACATGCATGGAGAATTCTATAAATAGAGTACTTAGAGCTAATTAGCAAACCCTGTTCAACACACACAACCAACAGCACTTTAATTACTTTACATTCATGTATCTTTACATTCATGTAATGCACTTTCAATATGTTTAATTCAAGCCATGCACTTATTATTCCTACTTTCCAGCACTTTACTTTGAAGTCCTGCACTTTCAATACCGCTTTCCTTTCCACTAGCCATAGTTCAGTCCGAAAGTCCTTTTTCAAGGCAAAAAAAACCCTTGAAGGTGGTAATTCCAGTCATTCATTCAATCGTCTGATCTTTGTAAATTCCTACTGGATAGTTGTTCAGATATCCACTCTGGAACGACAGCAGTTCCTGGCACGCCCGATATCCACTCCTACTTTCTATTCACCTGGAAAGCGGAACTAGCGCTTTTTTGCGAGCCAAACATTATTGGCATGCCTAGCGGGACATCTAGATAGATTGTTCAATGGCCGGTGGAAGAAGGCAAGGCAAGTCTGTCCAAGACCCTGCTGAACTAGAAGAGATGCAAGTCAGTGAACTTCCAGTGGAAAGTTCATGATTCGCACCTGATGAAAATGATATGGTGGAAAAATTTGCTCAAATAATGGCAAATGGACCCATCATAGACAACATCCGCATGATGGCAATGCAGCAAGATAGATTTGCGCAAGACCAAGCTAAGGTCGCTCAAGATTTAGCCAGAGTTGCTCAAGACCAATCTAAAGCTGTTATTTCTCAAGAGCGGAATTTAGCAGAAATGGTAGACCAAATCTCTCAAAGGTTTGAGTCCATGTTGGAACGAACCCTTAGAAGCTTAAACCAAGGTTTGACCCCTCGGCCAAACAACTCTGAAGGGTCTCAACAGTTGGCCTTCCAAGTGAGTAGGCCGGCCATATTTGTTAAAGGGAGTTCCTCTCAGAAACATGCAGGGCCACTCCCTCCAACTCAGCAGCAGGTACAGTCCCTTCTAATAGCACAGACTTCTATTCTAGCTACACCTGTGACTGCTCCAGTGGCACAGATGACTGTTCCACAAGCTGCGCCCATGCCAACCATTCAGTAAGTTCAGAATCCTCTACCTGTGGCATTTCCACAGCAGACTTGGTATGATCAGTCTGGCCAACTATGGCCATGCCACATCCCTCAAGCACAACAAAACGTTCCACCTGTGAACATTCAGCCAGCCGCACCTGTTCCAGCAAGGCCACCACCTATGGTCATTCAAATGGCGGTTAGGGGGCAACTTTTTCCAAGGGAGCCACTTCTTGACCAAGGAGGAAGGAACCGTGGTAGAAACAACTATGCAGATGCCAACCCCTTGCTTATAGCGGGTGGGGGGGCATCAGGTGGCTAATCAACCTCAAGGTTGGCCAGATAACAACCTTCCACAACCTATGGCGCTTGACAGAGGTCAATTTGCAGAATTTCTTCAACAGGAATTTGGCCTAACTCGAAGGGGTGGAAGGCCAACTTACAGAAAGCCCTATCCAGAGTTCATTGATGAAGTTGAATTTCCAAGGAATTTCAGAATTCCAGAGTTTGCAACGTTTAATGGAGAGGGCAAACAGTCTACCTTGGAACATATCAGTCGGTTCACTGTCCAATGTGGAGAAGCAGCAGCCAATCCATGGCTGAAAGTACGCTTGTTTCCAAACACACTGACTGGATATGCTTTCAGGTGGTATTCCAACTTGCCAACCAACTCTATTCAAAGTTGGCAGCAATTTGAGGATTTATTCCATACTCAGTTCTACAGAGCTGAGCTTGAAGTGTCCATGGCAGACCTTTCCAGACTTCATCAACTACCTGGAGAGTCCGTGATGTGCTTCCTTTCCAAATTTAGGCGGGTCAAGTTCAAATGCAATTTGTCTTTGCCGCCGGAAAAATATGTGAAGATGGTTGTGAACGGCCTAGAATTTGAACTTCGCAAGAAGTTTGAAGGTGTACAATTCCATGACTTGTTTGACTTGGCCGGCAGAGTGGCTAAGTATGAAGAACTCCTTCGTGAGGATCAAGACCGGAAGAGTTCTTCCAAGGGCACTTACTATCGTGATCCAAATTATGAGGTGTATACCACTGAAACTGAAGGGGAGTTTGAAGTAAATGTAGCCGAGCTCAACATAAAGAAGGCCTATACTTGTGAGGCCTTGACAAAACCAAAATTAGCCACGGCCAACTTGCAGGCCGCTTCTGGTTCCAAGTGGAAGGGGGCAAACCTTTCCAAGAGTTATTCTTTTGACATCTCTAAAGCCGAGCAAATTTTTTATTTACTCATGGCTGATAAACAACTAATTTTCACAACAGGCCACAAGATGCCATCGGCCTCCGAAATAACCGAGAAAGAGTATTGCAAATTTCACAATTCATGGAGGCATTCCACTAATAATTGTGTGATTTTTCGTAACATAGTGCAAAAGGCGATTGAAGATGGCCGGTTGAAGTTTCCAGAAAAAATAGAAGTCATGGGTGTTAATGAAAATCCCTTCCCCAAGGTTGTTGCCACGAACGTTACTTCCCTTGCTGCGGAACACCCTAAGAAGAATGTGGACTTGGCAAATTCAAGAGCTAGTGTAAAACTTGAAAGTCCTAAAGCTGCAGTATCCTTACAGAAAACGGTGGCCGAGTTAGAAAAGCAACTCCGTAAGGCTCAATTAGCCTTAATCCAGCAAGGTTGTTGCCCCAAGTGTAAAATTCAGAATGAAGGCTGTCATAGAGATGTTCCAAAGGAGAAGCTGTCCAATGATGACCGAGGCCAAAAAAGGAAGGTCCATGATCGGCTGACTTTCCAAAAGGTGGAAAACACAGTTACTGTAACTATTCCAAAGAAGGAAAGCCTGGTCCATACAGAAAGAAGGGCAACAACAAGGAAGCCAAAATTCCTTCCAAGGAGTATGGAAAATGAATAGAATTTCCTATCAGGCAGGGCCTTGTCCTAGCAGAAAGTTTGAAAGTAGTAGATGGCAAGACAGAGATTCTGAAGGTGACAGGTATTCCAAGCCAAAAATGGCCTCAGAAGTATGGGTTAGAAGGGGGAGTGAGCATCTCCGACTAAGGATGGTTAGACCTCCTACCTTGCAAGATGAGGGGTGGAGAAAGCTTGATCATCCCAAGTTTCCCATTCATGATGACTCTTTTATGACCCGCACACAAAAGCGAAGGCAACAAAGGAAGAGGGTTGATAGAAGGAAATTATGGGAGAAAGACCATGGTTGGACTAATTGGTCAAAGAAGACTACTAAGCTATCAGACTTGTCTGAACTTCCAACTAAAGGAGGGGTTAGAGATCCGGATGATTTATTAGATTTCATTTCAGAGGTTGGAAATTCCTTGACTACAAACGACCCTCCTACAAAAGATAGAATAGACTTGGAAATCCCCAACAGTTCCAGCAGCAGCAAAAAGATCTGTTTTAGGAGCCTTCCAGGTGAATTTACTTACAA